CTCTCCTCTCCCCACAGGATTTACAGGAGCAAAGCATCTGTTTAATGGGATCAGTGCTGTCAGGAGGCCACACTTTTTAGCATTCTAGATTTTGAACTCTTACAGGGTGTTGAAGTGAACTGGGGCGACTCATTGTAGCACCTGCCATACAGAGTACAAGATGCGTACACAAAATGCAACAGCTCCTTCCATGCCAGAAACTGTATCTTATAGAAATAGGAAAACATGTGGTGACAAAACTTCAAAATTCTTAGAGGAAAACTTTGTAAGAAAAATAGGATCCTTGTTCAAGGGACATAATATGTGAAAAGATTAAGAAACAATTTCTGGTTTGATAATTTGATAAAAATGTCTCAATCAAATGAAAGAATAAATTCATGAAAAACATGAATACTTAAAGCATGATGAGATTTCCTCTATCAACTAATATGTTTTATAAAGAAAAGGGCAAAATTAATATAAAATATAAATTGAGACAGAGTTCTCAAACTGTAACCCAGATGACAAATAGTTCTGTAAAGGAGGAAAAACTTATTTAGTAAAAGTGTCTGTCAGAGGTGTTTATATATCTACATTATAAAAGTTTACTTCCATTTCATACAATGTGCTCAAATAATTTCTGAATTAATTTAACTTTATATAAAGTAAGCTGTACACAATACTGAGGTAAGGGAGACAAATAGAAATTTTTTTCCATGACCAGCGATCAAACTTAGAATCTTCTGCTTGCAAGGCAGGCATGGTGCCTGCCATCTCTGGGCCCCCAGAGAGAAATTTAGCTTACTGGTTTTTGTTTGTTTGTGTGTTTATTTGTTTTTGGTACTGGGGATCGAACTTGGGTCCTTGTGCTTGTGAGGCAGGTGGCGGAACCACTGAGCTAAATCCCCAGTCCCCCAGATAGAAATTTAGATAGCAATGCTATAAGAAAAAAATGTATTTGACTATATAAAAATTGAAAAAAAATTGTTTTGTGGTACCAGGGATTAAATTTAGATCCTTGAACTTGCAAGGTAGGAGGTGGCACCCCACTGAGCTAAGTCCCTGGCCCTAAAAATTGAAATTTTGAGTGACAGAAATATTCCATAAATGTATCAAATGAAGAAATGACAGAGCTGGAAATTTTGTTCATCAAATAGCATAGGAAAAATATAATATATTTAATACTCCCAGAGCATGTACATGATGAAAAGTGATCAGCCTATACACTTTAAATTGATAAATTATATGTTTTGTAAGTTATACCTCAGTGATGCTAGTATAAAAGAAAAACAATATTAAATGTTAAGGAATTGATCCAGTAATCTCCTTCCTGGGAATCTATCTTAAAATAATAATTTAAACATTAAAAATATTTAATATTTATTGGAACATTGTTCATAGTGGCAAAAACTATAAGAAACATGCATGCATGGAAGAAAAATGAATAAAATTACTGTATATTTCTGCAATGAAAATATGCTAACAAAAATAAATGAAGTAGAAATATAGCATTTTGAGTGCTTTCATTGTCAAATGGTTGAGAAAAACAAAAATTAAAAGAATTGGTTATATGTTTCATTAGAAAATAGAGAGCAAAACTCTATATTTTATAGAAATGAATGCATACATATCTGCATGTATCTGTATGGATATGTGATTGTATATGATTAAAAGAACTGGGACATATACACTGACATATTTATATGTACTAGATTGTTAACATGAGCTATCATGATATAGTTAAAGTGAGTGATAAGAGAACGGGAAGGCATAATTTGCTTAAAAAGCAGACCATTGATTTCATTTATACATATAGGTAAATTTTTACATGTCTGTATAAATATTTATATATATTATGTCACAAAATTATTAAAAATAACAAAAATACAACATAATGACTATTATCCTTGGTCAGAACACTAAGGATTCATTTTTGTTACCATTGCTCAGATTTTGGAGATCAAAATAAATGAGTTCTTATACTTTCTTCCACAAGCTACTCTTTCTTTTCTTTTTCTTATTCTTCATTTCATTCTGTAGGTCCTATTGACTTTGAGTTCTGCACCAGAAAGACCAAGATTAAAACACAGAGGAACAATTACCATTCCCTCACAATGAAGCAATAACCTTGTCAGCAAAGGGAATATTTTGAGTGATTATGGATTTTTTATTCTCCCAGATATAGCTGATTCAATTTCTAAAATATACCTTTGGGGCCAAAGTTATCCTCTGTAATAAATCTAGTGCTGTGCTGGACTATGCTGTGCCAACATGGTTAAACTGGCAAAGATGTTTCACTGACTCGACTTCCATGTTAAATTAACCAAAAGACGAATTTGTGTCAAAATTGGAAGGCAGAAATGAATACCGTATTCTTTGCTGGTCTCCATGGCCCGACCTGGTAATGGACAGATGATGCAGCTTGTTCTTGTTCTTTTTCATTAAATCCTCAGCTCTTCTTCCCAAGGAAGATGAACAGCAGCAGCTGCCAGATCACCACCAGCTACTTGGCTACAAATCTCCAAAAATGGAAATGACAAAGGGGCAACAGATGCATACAGCTATCTCTGTGAGCGCCCCCTCATGGTAGTTTTAATTGGCAACAGATGTGTGTGGCTCGGTATTTCCCTGGAAAGCTCTGTGCTGTCCATCTGTACCAACAGTTCAGAAGAACTAGACAGTGAGCCCTCTTCTGATCCTCCAACTCTCTCTTCCAAACCTTCACTTTCCTGGCTCATTTCCCAGTTATTTGAAACCAAATTCCTACAGTGCATCACTTGTCCCGTATCACTCATAGGGCTCTGCCTCTCTGACTAAAACCTCATAAGTGCAGGTAAAACAATAAATTCAATATTTGCTGCAAACCCTGTACTTCATAATAAGCTTCGTTTGGGGATCATATCAGCACTATAACTATGAAATAAATTTTTATCATGAAAATGAGAGACCTGAATGTTTATTCTTATCATTGGGGCCAGAATTCGGAAATTTAACCTGGCCATGCAATCTAGAAACTGGCCAATAATGGTTATGAATAGACTCATAAAAATAAAGAGAAAAAAAAGATATGTCAATAAGATAAATATATGTTATGGCAATGATATTTTACCATTCCATATATTATGATTAGATTCCATATATTATGATTCCAAGATAATCTAATCTTGGCTATCATAAGGTGATAATGGATACATGTGGAACAGTCAATATGGATATAGGCAACTAACAGACTAAGAAAAAGGGGCATTAGGAACCTGGGCTCTCAATTTAATTTCCTGGCTTAAAATCCTGGGTTTACCACTCATTTTCTTTGTGATATTCAGCAGGTTTTATATCTCTTTACATTTACATTTCCCATCAGAAAGATGATTAACTTTTAGGTTTGTTGCAATGGGAAATAGGAAAACATTTAGCAGAATTCTCAGCACAGATATTTTAAAAGCTGTTTCTTACTGTTATTTTCTTATTGAAAAACTTGACTGTTGATAAGAAAATAACCTGGGTAGTTCTTCTAATTGAGTATAGGAATTCATGGACAGTCTTACTAGGGCTTTGCCTTCAGCTAGTCTCAGTTCCAAGTACTTTCTCTTTTAGTTGGTCACTGGGCATTATACAAATTCCCTGAAAGAAAAGTCTTATTGGGTTAGTTTGGGTTATGATCTTACCTATGTTATTATTGTACCCACTATCTATGTAATAATGCTGCATGAAAAAACAAATGCAAAAATCAATGACTAAAACCCATGAGCCTTTATTATTACTCATGAATCTATAGATAGGTAATTTTCATCTGGCTGAGTTTATCCATGCTGCTATCCTACTTGTGGGAGGGTAAGTAGCACTGCTAACTCTCAAGGAGATCTCATGTGTTTGGCGGTCAGCTGGATGTGTGTTAGTCCCCCGTCTTCCTTCAGCCTAGCTTGTTTGTTTTCACGATAGAGGCTACAGTGTGTGTGAGAGAGAGGGGACATGCGCAAGACCATAAGAGGATTAGAGCTAGAATTCTGTAAGCTTAGAAAGTCACATGGCCATCCCAGATTTAGTATTTTTAGGATGGAAAATACATCTCTTAGTAGGAAGAGATAAAAAGTCAAACCTCAAAGGGGTGATTATAGGGGAGGAAGAAAATGTGAGGCATTTTTACAATCAATTGACCACACTCCTAGGCTAGTCACAGAGTAGGGGGATGCAATACAATGACTGGTCTGCTCGGTCTCACAACCACTTCTGTTGGGGCACAGGGAAGAATACTATGATTGTTAGTGCTACTGATGTACATAGAATGGGGCAGCAGAACTTTACTAAAAGAAGAGTGGGTTCTGTTATGAAAAGAAAGAAGAAAGCATGCAGGGCAGCAAATCAATGAATGTCCCCCACAAAGAAAACAATAAACCAACATGTTTTAAGGTAATTTTGTGAAAAAGGAAGACAGCTCACTCAGTGTTTTTTCTCGGGGCAGGATTAGCTTTAAAGCCATTATGGAAAAGGACACTCAATGGTTTGTCTCTGGGCAGGATTAACTTAAAGCCGTCATGGAAAAGGACATTCATCAGGAGAAACTCCAACATTTTCATACAGCGTTTGGCTTTAACGGCAGTTTGGCTTAGTCACTACATATCTAACTTCAGTTCTCTCGAGTTTCTTCTTCGCGCTGTCTTAGTTACTTTTATCTTGTTGCTGAGACAAAATGCCATACACCCAAAGTTATAGGGAAAGAGTTTATTTGGCTTACAGTTTGTAGAGACTTCAGTTCATAATCAGCTGTCTCCAAGGCAGGGTGGGAGAGGGGCAACAGTTCATAGCAGTGAAAAACAGCAAAAGCAACAATGGAAGGGGGATGGGCCCTCAACAGTGTCTTTCTGCCCTTTTGTCTTATGCAGATTCCCTTGGGTGGGTAGCACACCATCGATCCTAGTGCTCTGGAGCCTAAAATCCATCCCAGAAAAAACTCCACCTATAATTGAGTGAGGCTTTGGGGTGGCAACAAGACACAAGCGCTAGAGCACTGTGTCTATGATCAATTACTTAGAACGCTGACAGTATTCTCCAAATAGTTTTCTTACAGCTGTCTGTACCTCCTTGTTCTTTAGGCTGTAGATGAAGGGATTCAGCATGGGAGTGATCACACTGTACTGCAAGGAGAAGATTAACTCCAAGGGAGAACCTGAGGCTGGCATGAGATAGCGTAAGCATGCTGAACCAAAATATGAGATCACAGTAGTGAGGTGAGAGGAGCAAGTGGAGAAGGCCTTGCTTCTGCCTGTGGTAGAACTGATGCTCAGGATGGTAGAGACAATGCAGACATAGGAGGATAAAATTGCGACAAATGTTCCAAAAGCATGTATGACAAAAGACCAGAACATGAGAGTGATGTTGGTGGAGACATTAGAGCAGGAGAGAAGGAAGACAGAAGGGAGCTCACAGTTGTAGTGAGGGATGGTTCTATACTCACAGAAGTCCACATTCACAGCTGGAAGTGTGTTGATGAGGGCATTGAGGAAGGCAAAGCCCCAGGAACCCCACACAAGATTCTTACAGAGCTGATTGTTCATCATCTGGCTGTAGAGCAGAGGATGGCAAATGGCAGCATAACGATCATAGGCCATGACAGCCAGCAGGCAGGCCTCGGTGCCCCCAGTGACAAATATGAAGAAGGCCTGGGCTAAGCAGCCCTCCACAGAGATTGTTTTTGTATTAGACATGAAGTTTTCCAGCATCTTGGGCAAAGAAACTGTTGAATACCAGACATCCAGGAAAGAGAGGTGACCCAGGAAGAGGTACATCGGTGAATTGAGGTTAACATCAGCCATCACTACCAACAGTATCATTAAGTTTCCTGTGAGGGTCAGGAGGTAAATCACAAGGAAGAGTACAAAGAGTACAGCTTGGACCTGGATATCAGCACACAGCCCAAGGAGGATGAATTCAGTGATAGCACTAAAGTTCTTCATACTTACGTAGTGGATCTTCCTTGGAATGCAGAAAAGAAAAATAAATAGCCAAATAGTTTCTCTGGTGTGAAAAACTCAAAGTGTAAATAAGGTTCAAATTGTATAACTGATGATGTGAAATAGGTAGAAAAGGGCTAAAGGAGTAGGGAAAGTTGGAGGGGTAGGGGGAAGGAAAGAAGGGAGAAGAACAAATATGAGAAATGGAAAAAATGGAAACAAAGTCTATTAAATAGGGAAGGGCAGAGGGGGTAAAGGGAGGGCAGGGGTAAGGGGAAAAATAAAAACCAAGGTACATCATATAAAGGTACAAGATCCCAATGATGAATGTAACTGTGTTATATACTTAAAAAGTACCAATAAGCTTAATGAAAAAGAAAAAAGTTTCCTCTTATATTTCCAACTTACTCAATGCCTTCCCTTTGTCCTTTTTCTGTACTATTTCTTCAGACTATATAACTAAGATATAAAATAAATTTTGGGAAGTATAACAAAAGTTTTGTAAAAGCACAATTACATGTAGTGGGTCTATTGGAAAATATCCTAAGTGTTGCTTCGAGCAGTTCAATCTAGAATGAGCAAAATAGCTACCTGACTTATCAAAATTCTAAAAGGTTTATATGAATACAAAAAACAAGTAAATAGTGAAAGCAAAGTCCACAATTTTACCGTTCTTGGTAGCAGTAACAGCTAGGTGATTCTGAGTGAACTTTTAGGACACTGTCTTCCTGCGTGATACTCCTGAAATCATGAGAAGTTGCCAGCTTTAGGAAGAAGAATAAGGCAGTTAGAAGTAGAACAGTGCTGGAGACAAACTCTTTGGAGAGTTTGTTCCTGAAAATGCCCATCATCTGTTCCTTACTTCACTCTGTATACTACAAGTTTCACTGGTGGACAGGGATGAGGAGTGGTGATGACAGAGTAAACAACTCTCTGGACTTCATAGAAGTGGGACTTTAGATTAGAAGATCTACCATAGAACAACAAGGAAGTTAAGCTTTTTCTCTATACTTGTTTCCCTCATATCCTTGATAGCTCTCAGAAGTGGTTTTCTAAGTATTACAGGTTCTCAGGAAAAGCTCTGCTCCACCGATGAGGTGAGAGGATCAGGGTACAGGGAGTGGAAATGGAGAAGAGGAAATGAATAAAAATCCCATTTCTACTATGTACTTACTGTGTGAACCTCAAAAAGCTTTTCTCTTCCCTTTTTTATTTTTCCCAAATATATAATGAAGATTAAAATTTTGTTTGCAAAATTTTTAGATGATTTAGATGATTTATGAAAATATTTGACTCTAAACATACCAACTCATCTATTTGTAACTTGTTCATCATTCAATATTTCTACAAAACTAAAGAGTAATACATGAACAGAGAAATAAAATGCAGGAAAAGAGCAAGGATAGGTGAAATGAACTGCTCTATGAGCAAACTAGTGAGGGATGTTACCTTGCAGATAAAGAGAGGAGCGTGATTTTCTACCTTGATGGGCAAACTGTTCCAACCTCAGGAACTGCTACACGAATCTGGGTATAGGCAATCATTTCTCATTTCTTAAAATATGTGTAGAAAAAAAGGGCCACATTGAGTTCCAGGAATCCCTTCAGTCAAAACCCTCCCAACTATTTTGGAGTTCAGACTTACCAGGCCCCTGGAAAAGAACATAAATCAAGGAGTAACAAGTCTCACCTGTTAATTATTTGCGCAACTTGTCTCATGCCTAGTCACATGCTCACTTATTTTCCTATATTATTTCCATACCATTCTAACTATCTGAATTTATCCAAACAGTATTCTTGGGTCTAACTAGAAATACTAGTATGTTTAAGTAGCTAATGGATAAGCAGCTGAGCTAGATCCCAGAAGACAGCTGGGTTCATGTCTTGTGCTCCTTGGAGGCACAGCCTGTAGCTAAGCTTTCAGCTCACTAACATTTTCTTTAAGTTTTATTCCATTTTAAATTGACATCTAATTATACAAATCTATTATACCCAGTATGTTTTGACACATGTATGTATTGCATAATGATGAAATTAGGATAATTAACATATTAATTACCTCAAACATTCATTAGTAATTTGTGGTGAGAAAAAATCATCTAGTCCAGTTATTTTGAGATATATAATTTATTTTTGTTTCAGCTATAAATTCTATGTAATAGAACACCAGAAATTATTTCTAAAAACTAATTTTGTGCTGGCTGACCATTCTCTCCCCACTTCTACTTTTACTCTACCTCCCACAACTTCTGTTAACCAGTATCCTACTTTAACTTCTATGAGATTAATATTTTTATATTCCACATATTAGCGAGTTCATGCAGTATTTGTCCTTCTATGTCTGCCTTGTTTCACTTAATTTAATGACCTCCAGGTTCATCAATATTGTTTCAAATGTCTGGATTTATTCTTTTCTATGGCTTGGTAATAGTCACATATATATTTCTACAGTGGCTATTGCTAATTAAATTCCCAATGATAGTGTATAAGTGTTCCCTTTTCCCAACATCCTCACCAAAACTTGGGAGTTTTATTCAGACGGTGGTCTTTTTTTATATTAGCCATGATAACTAGAATGAGTTTTTATCTCATTGTGGTTTTGATTTTATTTCCCTGGTGGTTAACAATGCTGCACATTTTTGTCATATACTATCATCCATTTGTACATCTTCTTTTAAAAATTCCTATTCCATAGAATTAATATGAGAAAAGGAAAAATTGGAGATAAAGTCTTTGTGAAAGTGTTGAAGAGAGGGTAGGGAAATGGGGAAAAGATAAGAACCAAGATGTCTTACTTTGTAAAGGTACAAATTTCCAATGGCAAATGTCATCATATTTTATACCTAAAATGTACTATTAGAAAATCCTATTCCAAGTTTTAGTCCATTCAGTCAGATTTTTGGAGGCTTCACTATTGATTTGTTTGAGCTCTTTATATCTTCTGGATATTAACCTCTTATCAGATGTAGTTTCAATATTTTCTCTCATTCTGTATGCTCTCTGTTCATTGCTTTCTTTGCCGCACAAGAAAGTTTTCAGTTTGATGCAATTCCATTTATTTGTTTTTGCCTTTGTCAGCTGTGCCTTTGAAATGATATCTAAAAAATCTTTTTGCCAAGGCCAATATTACAGAG